GGCCTAGATATTACATAGTTGTGGGAACTTCTCTCATATCTTTGTAGAGCACTTATCTGTGACCTGCCTAGGAGAAAACTCCTTGGGCTTCAAGTTTCTATGGAAAGATGGGGCCGTAGATAATCTCAGGAAATGCCTTTTATAACAGATAAAAATTAAATTTTAAAACACTTAAAATTATTTCTCAGAAAAAAATACATAGCAATTTTTTTATTCTCATTTGTTTCAGTATTGTAGCTAAAAGTCTGTAACAGCCAGAAAATTAAAAATTTGTTTTAGATGTCTGCCACTGTAGACATTGTTCATATTAGACAAATATGTTAGATGAGTGTATCTCCAGTTTATCATTGTTTTTGTTTGCTTTTGTTTTACCTTTTGAGTATTTTGTTGTTGTTGTTTTGAATTCTTTTTATTTTTGAGTCACTGAAGGTGACATTTGTGTTTCTTATAGGTAAATCCATCCAATCATAGACTCCTGTTTGAAGTATTTGATGAAAACAGATTGGTAAGTTTCGACCTTCAACTCTCCACCATCCCCTTCCCCAAACAATTATCTTAATGTGAAAATTGCATCTTTTTTTATGGTATACCAAAGCAAATTTGAATAGTTGAGTGCATTTGTTTATGTATTTAGAATTTTTTTTTTATTTTTGGTTCTGGTACTTCGATTTTATCAGTGTAGGAAATTGCCTGACATAGAAAATTCATCCACCAATGCAGATAGTCAATTCATCTGTAATTTATAATCCTGAATAATTGTTTGGCCCACTGAAAACTTAAGTGGCTTGTCTGTGGCTCACGCAGATAATATGTGCAGAAAAAAGACTTGGACCTGGGTCTTTGGAACTAGATCACTCTGAATCTCAGTGTATGTGACTTTCAATGTGACTTTGTCTAGCCGTCTACACTCATATTAACATGTGTATGTCATGGGTCAGAGCAATTTATATAGTAATATCCAGATATTTTTAAAAAATTAAATATTTCTCATCTATATTTGTGCTAATTATGTGGTAGAGGCACAGGAGAAGATTAATGATATTTGTGTATGTGTGTGTTTTTTCTCCCAATAGGTAAAAATAAAACCCCCTAATGTTAACATCGACTCTTTATGTGCTGATGTTTGGTATTCAGAATGGTGGTATAAGTTATGGTTAAAAATTACTCATTATTTGTAAACTAACTATGTGGAATTCCAAAGTATATATGTCCACATGGCTTTTCATTATGTAAAGTAGTTCAAGATATATTTAATAACTTGACAAGAGGGATGGATTGTCCTATGAGAGGAAAAAAAAAACAACTTTTTTTTATCACAGTTTTTTTTAAAGTGTTTTGTTGTTGTTGTTTAGTGGTTTTTTAGTTGTGTCCAACTCTTTGTGACCCCATTTGGGATTTTCTTGGCAGAGATACTGGAGTGGTTTACTATTTCCTTCTCCAGATCATTTTACAAACTAAAACAAACAGGGTTAAGTGACTTGCCCAGGATCACACAGCTAGTAAGTGTCTGAGGCCAGATCTGAACTCTTGGAGATGAGTCTTTCCTGACTCTGGGCTTGGTACTCTATCCACTATACCACCTAACTGCCCCCAAAAAATGGTTAGTTGTCTCCTTTAAAGTATGGAAGGAAAACTTCTATCTGGAATGCTTAGTTAAAATAGCTTCCAGATAACAATTAGGGGAAAAAATGCAAAAAGCTTTTCAATTCGAGATTTTGTTTCCTCCTTTTGCTTAAATGGGGAAAATACATTATACATCTAAGTAGACCCTTTATTAAAAGGGGTAAAAAGACCATTATTACAAGGATGCCATGTATGGCAATCCCCAGAATCATATGCCAGAAAAATCAGTTTACCAGGGTTCAAATCTAGCCATAGACAGTTACCAGCTACGTGAGCTTAGACAAACTATCCAGGGGTGGGGAACCTCGGGCCTCGAGGCCACATCTGGCCCTCTAGGTCCTTAAGTGCAGCTCTTTGACTGAATCCAAACTTCACAAAACAAATCCTCTTAATGAAAGGATTTGTGCGGGTTCCCCACCCTTGATGTCCTAACCTCTCTCTGCTTCAGCTTCCTTATCTATAAACTGGGGATAATAACAGTGCCCACTTCCCAGAGATGTTATAAGGATAAAATGAGAGAATATTTGTAAAACATTTGGTAAACCTTAAAGCACTGTAAAATGCTGCTGCTGCCGCCATTGCAGCTACTGCTGCTCCTGCTACTGCTTATTACTCCTTCTCCTCTTACTACCACTATTACTACTCTGTCCCCTCCTCTTCCTTTACTCACTGTCCCCAAAATGTAGATTCCCATTGTTTAGTACTTTGGTATAATTTTCAAACCAGAATATACCTTTATAGATCCATCCAGATACAAACAGCCTTTTACCCACCCATTCCCCAGTCCTGTTTCACAGATGAAGAAAGAATTGGTGACCACAGAGTTGGTGAAGGAACTTGTCCCAGATCACACTGCTTTTTAGTCAAAGACAGAGGCGGTATTTAAGCCCATGTCTTCGAGTTCTTGGGGAGTATTTCTTGACCATGCTATTTTATTTAATTTAAATCAGTATGTACCTTCATTGGCATTATGGAGATCAAATAATGTTCACTCTGTCTTTTTAAACCTTAATGTCATTCCCAAAACCATCTAAAATAAGTTAGATTTCCTCATGTTTCTCAGAAACTCTTAAATTTAAAAATATATGGGTCCAGTGTTGGTGAATGTATAGTTTGACCCCCCAAAAATTATGAACTAAGAAATCCATAAAAATATATGTAGCCATATAGTATATAAATAATGTTAACATTTTTATTGTCGTTGATCTAAATTCTGTTATGCACATATGCTTATACTCAGATAGAAATGAATGGGGGTTTATTTTGGGATGGGGGGGTTGATTTTTGCTATGCCTTATTTACACATAGCCAGGAAAAGTTAGATGGAAGAGACTGTATCTTAATCCCTTAAGATAAGACAGAGCCAACTCAAGTATACTAGATCTTGATAATTAAATGAGACGTAATACCTAGAAAAGAAATAAATGGGTTTTTTTTTTTTTGGTTGAACTTAATTTTGCATTTAGCATACTGTTTCTAGTCCAAAAGAATTCACTGTGAAAATAAAAGGATTTCCCTTATTTCTTTATTTAACTATGCTACCTTTAAGATTTTCTTGTATTCTGTCTCTTGCCCCTCCAGCATTCCGTGTTAGGAGGGTCTAAATTGCATAAGACATGTTTGGCAGTGCACTGCTGTAGAAAGAATGCTTTATCTGAAAATTATGTTTAATAATACTAACACCTGGGTTTGCACCAAGCTGTCTGCAGCACTGTTACTGTGTGACGAATAGCTGTGTTCTTTCTTGTTGGCACGGAGGCCTGTTAAAGACAATATGGGATTGTGCTGGTGCTTGGCAGTTTTAGTGTTGAACAAGCCAGATTCCATTTCTCTCATAATTGGTCATCTTGACATTTGAAAACATGCCGCTAGAAAACAGATTTGGATGTCTAAACATGGTGTTGAACTCCCCCCACCCCCACACCACCCCATATCCATGATTCCAGATCTGTTGTCAAAGCTATACTTTGGGATTTTAATAGAAACTTGTCTAGGCCTTTCTATTTGGATTGTATTCCCTTCCTACCCCAGGTCAATCTATATAGTTAAATAATTGCTATTTCTGGTCTGTGAGAAAGAGTTAATACGAAAGACAATGATAAATGATTCTTTTTAAAACTGTTGTTCTGATTTAATGAAACTGATGACTTTTTATGAATTTTAAATTCACAAAACTATTTTGTGAAGCATTTTGGCTTTTAGCAAGCATAAGAATATCCCATATGGGCATCCAAAATGCAGTATTTGGTGCAACATTGCCTCTATATGGTGTCCATATGAAATTAATACAAATCTGCATATATGCCAACCTTTTTTGGTTTTCTTCAGTCTTTCCTACCTGGCACGTACGAGGGCAATATTTTCTCAAGCTGTGTTTCTTATTGCTCTTTTTCTTTCCTCGGGTGAGAATTCTTCTTTGTAACCTTTTTTTCTTTTTGGTAGCTGTTAAGGAGAAAGTTTCAGTGTAGTGGCAAGATTTATAGTATTAACTCCAGCAGTATTTTAAATTGTCTCCCACCCCATCCCCCACATAGATATTTTCTTACTTGTTGATCATAGTCTAATTATTTAGCATTAAAGGGAGCTACTTCTGGGTAGTGTGTAATTATATTTATAGTGCGTTTTTATTAGTTTGCATTCCGCCATGGTAGTCTGATGATGTCATAAATAACCCAGCAAAACAAACAAACAAACAAAATCTGCTGCTGCTGAAAACCTGAGACCTCTTTCTACTTTTTAAGTTGGTCTTTCTGAGGAGGTGGTGAGGGGATATGGGAAAATGTGGGGCTGTTTTTTAATGGAAGGCAATTTGTATTCATTTGGGAGAGTGTGCTGCGTGTGTGGGTGTGCGTGCGTGTGTGTGTGAGCGTGTGCATGCATGTTGCTTAGTTCAGAAGTGCCCTGTGAATATGATGTGATTTAGATTAATAGTAGCGCTGAGAGTGTTTGCTGCCCTAGTCAGCTGTGAGAGCTCGCCCGCTGGGGCAATGCCTTTCTGATGGAAAAAGAGCAGCTGGGAAGGTGCTGTTTCAGGCTCTTACTGTTTAAAAGAGAGGGAGAGGGAGAGGGAGGAAAAAAAAAAAAACAACCCAAGTCCAGAAGCTGGCATTGGAGAGGGAGAGCAAGGTCATGTGGCTCTAACCATCCTACCCTCTGTCCCAGTGTGCAGAAGCTCTGATTCCTCTTATCCAATCATGCCTGGAATGCAGCTTGCCACTTGGGTTATTTCTGCTATCTGTCACTATCGTTGGTGCAGTGCTAACGGTTTGGCAGATGGGACAATTTTTCTTGGAGTTTATGTCTTTGATTTTTAACTTCTGGCAGTGCCTGAATTGTTGTTGTTGTTTCCCTCTCCCTTCCTGCCCTCCTGTTAAACCATGGCCCATCGGCTGCGGTTTCATTTTGGCTCTGGTCGAAGCAACACAGCCCCTGAATCAGAGATCCTAGATCGAGAGAGAGAAGACGACTTTTTTATGGCATTCCACACTTTGCCAAGGAGAAACAGTCCTCACCCATTCTCTCAAAATGGAGCAGAGTATGGTGGCGGTAGCCTACAAGAAGTGGGATCCCTCAAACGAAGCACATCCATGTTTATCCCTCAGCTGCTGAATAACATTGATGCCCGTCCAACAAGGAGCTCATCTGTGCAAATCTCCCTGCAGCGCAAAGCTGTGAACGGACATACGGATGAGTGCAGGGCACCAGAATCTCTTGAGGAGGACCTTCCCTATAAATTTTCAGATCTTAGGGAGAATTTTACTACACCAGTAAGTAGATCTTCTTCATCCCAAAGCAGCTCCCAAGGAACTTCAGAAAGAGAATCCCCCAGTAATTCTCCACCAAGGTTGCTTGATGATTTAGGACAACAGGTCAATGGATCTAATAACACTTGCAGTCACAGAGTGTTTTGTACCGTTCCTTCAGATAACCAAGGTGATGCTATCCCCTCAGTTGCTCAGGCTGTAGAAGGCAATGAAAATGCTTCCGGCTCGAACATCACTGGAGTAAGAATTCAGCATCGTGCTTCAAGCGCAGAAATGCGTCAGGTTAGACTCTTGCCCTTTGGATCAGAAGTTCAGAACAACCCTTCTGCTCCTGAGCCCAGGCGTTGGTCTTTGCAACATGTGCCAGATGTATCTTCTAGTTCTGGGAAAAGGTGTTTTGTTTTCCAGTTGCAGCAACCCCAAGCAAGCACTCCAAGCCCTGGTGGTGATTACAATTTTGGATTTACTGGAACAAAGGGGGACAGGTTGGTCAGGTATCCAAGAATAAGGCTAGAGAGGAGTACCTCTTATCCAGTGCAACCTCGACCTGAGCGAGTTAGCCCAATGGAAGACAGAGTGAATTCAGAGCTTCCTAACAATAGCAGGAATTGTCCTGAAATACATAGGAGTAACTCAGTAGAAAGGATCCCACAGAGTAAGGGCTGCACTTTTAAGATCAGGCAAGATCAGAATTCCCGACAACAACACTTTAGAATTCTTGTCACTCGTGGTCATGAAGAACCTCACCAGACTCTTGAAGAGAATAGTTCAGACACACCTGCTTCAACAGCAGCAGACACTCTGGTAAGTTAGCCATTGAATGTGGTATGTTCCTATTTGAACATTAGACAAAAGTAATGGGTTCAAACTGGGAATGCTTTTTTGTTTTTTGTTTTATTTGGGGTTTTGTTTTGGTTTTTTGGCATTACAACTAAAAGAAGCTTTCTTCTACAGCATTTGAAGTTTTCCTTTTCAAAGAACCAGGTTACTCATAATTTCTAGCCTCAAATCATGTTGTTCTCATGCTCTTGATATGTACCTGTGGGTCCAGTATTTGGTTGGAATCATAATGTTATAATAAGACCGACATGTTTTGCAAGAAAATACTTATCAGTTAAAAAGTTTTGTTCCTTGTAAGTCTTCAGATGCCCTTACCTGACTTTGTTTGAAGCAAATATGTCCATGTCCCCATTTTGGCGAAATATAATGGTTTCCCTTTTTCAGTGCTTAAAAAGCAATTCCATCCTCCCCATCTAAAAAAAACTAAAACTAAAAAACCAAACCTAGCCAAAGGTCACATGCTAATGTTGGAAAATCCATAAGGAACCTATTTGCAGCTTCATCCTGTGCTGGGCCTTTTTATCAAAAGTAATTTATGCTTTAAAGTGTTAGGAAGTAGGGAAATAATGATGTAGTTTCTCTTAACTAATTAAAATGTTTACATCAATACATGTCCCAAAGTTTTTTTCTGCTGTGTTAGGAGTCGGTCTAGTTCAGATACTTTTATTTGTTTGCTTTGATTAATTAAGAAGTGTACTCCATGTGAATAGCAATGCAGTACATGTGGTATGTTACTTATTTTTGAAGCAAAATAACTTTAGGGACCAAGCATGGGTAAAACTTTTATGGGGAATCATTAATTCTCAAGTTGCATTACAGTGCAATTTAACACTGCCCACTTGAGACTCCAGGCTCAATGATGCTGTATATAGAATAGTAAGTGCACTATCTCCAGCTGTGAAAACAGACTCACTCACACAGACTCTGGCGCTTGCTGCCTGTGTGCGTTCCTGTTCTCCTAGGCTCTCCCTTTCAGTGAAATGTAGCACAGAAAGACAGCTGCTTACTTCACCCAGGCCATATGATGACTCTGCAGCTCTCATAGTTTCTATCTAGCAAAACAAGTGATATGGAAACTTTAATCAGATTGATTTCTTTTGTTTATAACCACTAGATTTAAGTGCTTTCTAAAAGAATTCATTCCCTATGTTTTGCATCATCATTTTTATTATTATTATTATTATTATTATTATTATTATTATTATTTTGTCTTTCAGCATCATGTAGCATCCTTACCTTGCTAAAAAGCTTGTTTCTGATAGTAAATATAAAAATCTATCTATCTCTATGTATTTTTTCCAGTGCTTTGCTCTACAGATGCTTCCTTTCTGTTTTATGAGTTGTAGCGATTTGTAACATTAGCTTCTTAAATAATAATTAGGCTGGTTGATATCCCTGCTAAGCTCACTGTGCCACTTTTTCAAGGGTGCAGCAAATGCTATCTCCTGGATGACTTTATTCAACTCCCCATTTTTGCTCTTTTCTCTCTCAGTCCACCCCACTCCCTTCCTTTTTTTTAATATCTCTAACCCCTTTCTGGTAAACAGCTGTGTGTTTCATCATTGCTTTAGCTTAATGTTATTCCTCATAAAGTAGTAGAATAACTACATAGAAAAGGGTTAGGAAACTGCTGACATTTTAGAAGTATTTCCCCCAGATATGAATATGTCAGTGTAGGTTCAAAGCCTTCATGTCTTCAACAGTCATCTCCAGTGCACTGCTTCACTTGGGTCACTCCTATCATAAGGACTTCTTTAAAATATTCACAATCTTATTTTGGCAACTTGTTTCCTTAAAAGACAATTTTGATCATTACCATATTTCTGGCATCCAATTTGTACCACCAAAATATTAGCTAGTTTTATAGTTAGACTGTTGGGCATAAAGGCATTTAAGCATTTTTAAAAATTATAAATAGGTTTCTAATTTAAGTGTTTCCGACTAGATTTATTTTAGTATGTAATTATCTTTTGAAAAATTTTTAATCAGAGACATTCAGGAGAATGGAGAGCCAAAAAAAAAAAAAAAGAACATTCTCTGGATATCTTGGACAATTAATTCAAAGAGCCACTATTGAGGTCCATTGGCATTTTCTTTGACAGAAACATAGGTTATCAAGTAGTGTATATGAATTGGCTGTTGGAAGCAACAACCCAAAGAATTCTAACCCTTTTATTTTTAAATTTCTCTTTACTTTAGAAGCAGGTTCTCCTCTCTCCTTTTTGCTGCATTGCATGTGTTTGATGTGAGCCCAGCCTTAGAGTGCAGGCAGCAGCTGCCACAGCCTTATTTATCTTGAGGGGAAGCATTCATATGGGCGTCTACAGACCTACTGTCATCAAGTGTTTGTGATCTTTCAAATATCTTCTGTTTTACTGAGAAGTTTTTTCAATCCAAGAATGGATTCATTATGAGGTTTCATGAAATATTAACTAAAAATGAGACTAGTAGAAGGCCAAATTTATTCCATGAAGAATGTCTGGAAACTTTTTTTTCTTAATTTAGGAATGATACTCAGAATTCCATCCACACACATGCACGCGCACACACTCATGTATGTGTATAGACATGTCTATGTAAATGTGTTAATACATATATGTAGATAGAGATGGATATCTATTCTTATACATATGTGTCTACATATAGACACATATGTAGATATGTGTGTACTTATGTGTTCCTCCAAGAATCTTGGAGCAAATACAGTCCAACCCTCTCATAATGTTAGTTTTAGTAAAGAATTGACATTTGCCTGATAAGATAACCTGGTTAAGTCAAGCTTTGACTAATTGTTTGTCATTATATTTCTGGGGATCCAAAGTTAACATGTATTTGTGTAAGGAGCTATGTTATAATCAACTTATACTAAACTTGGTTTTTTTCAACAGTTACTCTCCACTCAGTTGTTTCTAATGATTATACTATCTCATTAGCCCTGTAACCTGAGAGGAGATTAAGGTTTTATCAATAGCTATTGGCTTCTTTCACTTAACTCTTGTTAAGAATGTCTTGGGGGATTTACATGTTAGTTTGGTTTATCGGAAAAGGGAAAGTTTATTTACATTTCACACGATTGAACTTAGTGTTTTCAAAATTTTATTATATTTGACATTGGTAGTACTTTGTCAATGATATATAATTTCACATACATATAACCACTCATTCTTCTTCCTGTCTTTAAAAAAAATCCTGTTATGTAAGAATCTACCCAGCATATATCAGGAACAGAGCAGCAGCCACAAATACTTGAGGGCCTACTGTATATATTGCATAATACCAAGCATTTGCAGAGTTGGATAGAAGGGTGTCAAATATGATGCAGGATCTTACCCTATATGTCAGATATGTCAGAGATATGTCAGATTTGAAACCGTAAAAATCGACTATTGAATCAAGTCCGGACTAAGGAGAAGAACCTTTCCAGCCTTATCTGTTTTTTGCCTAATCTGTAAGAGTCAAACTGAGCTACTATTTTTTATTACCTTTCTCAATTTCTCATCTAATTTTTTTTTTGCTAATATTGTGTTCCCAATTCTCAGATTCATTACCCTTTTACCACAGCATTATCTGTTGGTATTATTTCCATCTTTCAACTTCCAACATCTATAGCACTTCCTATGAATCCTTTCCTAAATCTTCCCCACTTTTCTCCAGATAGAAGTAAATTTCCCCTCTCGGTGTCTCACATAATATTTTGTACTTCTCTTGTATATTTATATTCCAGTTTTTATTATAAATCAAGTAATATAGTTCTATTGACTGCTTTCCTACAGTGTGCAAACATGCTCTGTTCTTCCGTCTCTCAAGCTTTTGTCTGCCTTTCTCTCTCTTTTCATTGCCCAGTTTTTAAGTGGAATAGTGCTCTCATGTCATTGCAATCCATTTCTTCTTTAACCTGATATAAGTCACAAGTACAATATGTCCTAAGCTGCCATACTCATTCCCCCTCCCCCCAACCCTCCCTCATTCTGTCAAGGACACTCAGGTTCATAGCCTCAGTCATTCTCTTCTCCCCATTGTTACTAGCCCTACATGTCCAATCAGTAAATTTCTTGTCAATTCTTTCTCCCCCAAATCTCCTGAGCTCATCTTCCTTTTTCCATGAACATAGTTACCACCCTAATTCAGGCCCTCAGCATTTCTTGCCTTAACAGTTGCTTTAAATAAGTTTTTATCTTCATAATTATCATAATTATCATCATAATTATCTTCATAATTATCCCCACTATCCCTTCTCTCCCTCTCCCAGAGGGGTCATCCTATATATATACGTACGTACATATGTACGTATGTGTGTGTGTGTGTAAAGCTTTTTTTTTTTTTAAGGCAATCAGGGTTAAGTGTCTGAGGCTGGATTGGAACTCAGGTCTTCTTGATTCAAGGGCCGGTGCTCTATCCACTGTGCCACCTACCTACCCCAAAAAGTGCTTTTTAAAGACAAAAAGAAAGAAATATAAAAGAAAAAAAATAAGCATTGAATTGCATTACATTGAAAAAGTCAGAAAACTTGTTCAATGTGTAACACCTGTGGATCTCCCCAAGGGGTGGGTGGGAATATCCTCTTTTTTTTTTTCATTCAAGTCCTGCTTGATCTTTATAATTGTATTCACTTTTGATCTTTTGATGTGTCCTTCCTTCCATTTGCATTGTTGTAGTTACTGTGTATATTGTTTTCTTACTTTTTTTATTTACTTTACTTCCTTACTCTGCTTACTTCACTCTGCATCAGTTCATGTAGATCTTTTGATAATTCTCTGTATTCATCACCCACATCATTTCCTACAGCATTCCTTCCTTAGCTGTTAATAATAGTCCCCTAATTGTTTTATCTGCTTTAATTTTCTGCCCTCTCTAATGTATCTTCCATACCACTTACAAGGAGATATTTTTAATATTCAGTCTTTCCCCTGATCAAAAAGCTTCACTTGCTACCCATTAATTTTAAAACAAGGCAAGGCATCAAG